TAATGTTATCATTAGACGTGCGAGGAACTAAGTTCCACGTCTTATTTTCAATAAGAGCGTCATATTAGTCTTTCATGGCCATTTTTCAATTAGGGTCATATAATGCATCTATAGAGTTTATAGTTAATGGGGATATGTAATTTTGAGATGAAGTATGTAGGTTAAAAAGCTTCTAAGGTTTGATTATACTATGTTGGGACCAGGTAGTCATTTGAAGTGAGAATTATGGTAATATTGGTGAAGGTGAAGGTGTGAGTAGCAATGTAGTAGCGGAAGTTTGTTGTTTGTTGTGAGTTAAAAGATAAGGAGAATGAGATATGGGCGTGGAGAAAGAGTTTGGTGGGAAGGTTTGGTTGGGAGGGGGCGTAGATGAAGGTAGATTTGAGGTTAGTGTTTGTGAATTGTTAGATAGAAGGTAAGTTGGGGTTGGAGTATTTGGTCTAGGGTGTCATTGGAGTATGAAGGAAGGAAAGGTGTGGAGTCATTATCTATAAAAATATAGTAAAACTAGTTTGAAGCATTTAAGGTAGAAAAAGGAAACATATTTTCTTCAAATATGACATGCCTAGAAACAAATATCTTACGACTAAACAACTCATAACACTTACATCCTCTATGATTAGTAGGATAACCTAAGAATATACATGGCGTTGACTGAGTTTGTAATTTATTTCTAGAGGTTGAGGTAATTAGAGGATAGCATAGACACCCGAAAACTCGAAAATGTGAATAGGAAGGATCATTTTGGTAGAGTATCTTAGTGGGTGAATGGAGGGTAAGCATTTTAGTTGGGAGGATGTTATGTAAGTATGATTCCTTTTGCAAGGAATGGTGCCAAAAGGATGGTGGGATAGAGGCATGGACTAGAAGGGTGTAAACGATGTTATTTATAGTTCAAATATTTCTTTCAGATTTTCCAATTTAAGGGGAAGTAGGGGAATTGAAAACCTAAATGACATGCCATTGAGTTCATAATTTTTTTGAAAGAGAGCATTGTTATATTCTTTCTCATTATCATATTGAAAACATTTGATTTCTCGTTCAAATTGGGTTTTAATGTGAGCTCAAAATTGAATAAATATAGAATGAACTAGAGATTTAATTTGTAATGGAAAAAAAATTCACAGAAAATCCGTGAAATCATATAAATATAACACATAATAATGGTGTCCTCCTGAATTAAGAACTCGTGATGTCCAAACATCACTATTGCCAATATCAAAAGACTTGAAGTATAAGACAAAGAACTAGAATAAGACAATTTTATTTGTTTTCCAAATAGACAAGAATAACAAAAGAAATTATTCCGAAACTTATTACATATAAGAAAATTGTTTCAGTGTAGATAATTTAAGACATGTGCTCCAAGGTATCCTAATCGGTTGTGTTATACTTTATTAGATAATATTGTAAAGGTAGACAGTGGTTGGGTTGCAACTTAAGGTCTAGTGGTAAGTGGGTAGAGGTCGCCGGAGCTATTACATCTCATTAAATGTAATCCTGTTTGAAAATCTTTCACGAAGAAACCAAAGGGGTCAAATTCAACAGAAACATCATTATCAATGGTAAATTTTCTAACAGAGACTACTTTTTTTATTAGTTTAGAGGCATGTAATGCATTGTATAAATTGAAACAATATGGTGAGGTAGGTAATGGTGCATGTTCATAATCAATAACCGTAATATTATGACTACTGTCAACAGTAATATTGTTGCTCGTATTGAAATAAGATATAAGATTACCTTTGTTCACCGTCATATTCGAAGTAGTGTCGATGTCCATATACCATTGATCATTTGGAGAAGAAATAAAGAATGTATGCATAACAACCTAGATGTTTATTGAGGCATATTAAGAGGATCTTTGGTGTTTGGCCTGGTACAGTGTAGTGGTCGCTACATGAGCTTGATGATTTGGATTTTTCCCAAGAATACCACCTCCTTGTTTGAGTTTTCAGTAGTCAGGTACGGACATGGCGGAGTGGACCAAGGCTTGAACCATGATGGAAAATTCCATTACTGATTTTGTTTGGGATGTGATAGATAAGTACATTGCTCTTGTTGATGTGGGTAAGGTGGTAAAGTCCAATGTGGATATTGAGAGTGATCGCCATTGCATCCATTATTTCGTCCCCTGCCACAGTAGCCGCGACCATTACCTCCTCTGCCATGATTGCTTTTACATGTGTCGTTGTTGGAGCAGTTGGAAGAAGTGGGAGTCAATGCATCAATGCGTGAGGTGATGAAGGAAACACATCAGTTATGTTGGTTGGCTTTTTCGCTCTGGTTGTTTCTTCTAAGATGATCATAGAGTATACTTTGTAAAAGGGTGGAAGAGAGTCAATGTGGTGAACTTGCAAGCCCATAGTAGCCTACAGTAGCACATACATCAGTTAAGTCTGAGATGAGTTAGAGAACTAGACGTTCACTGGAGACAGGATCCCCGACATTAGATTGTTGATCAGGGAGGGATTTAAGAGGCTAACAATAAGAGGATGCATCAGAGAGTTATTCCATATGATTGCGTGAAAACTCTTGCTCTAGTTAAAGAGCCCTAGAACTTTTGTTGTTATAGAATATGTCAAACAGTCTATTCCAAACAAGTTCTACAGTAGAGTCATGTTCAATGATAGTATTGAAAAAGTCATTAGAAATTGTGTCATATATCCATTGTAACACGACGACATCAAGGCAAAATCAAAGTTCAGTGTCAGTGTCATATAGTGAGGGAGTCGCGGATGTTGTAGAGGGTGAAGGTGGGATTATATGATCAATCACTTGATAGATACGAGCATGGATTTTGAATAATTTATACCACGTATTATATTGTCATTTTTCAATACTCAATGTGGTTTTGATGAAGTTTGTGATATTGAACACTGTTAAAACAAGATAAATAAGAGCAGACGTGAGAGGCTGAAACTGAATCGTGAAATCATTATTAATGGAGTGGGTGGAAGAATCGTTGTTACTTTCGCCGGCCATGGGAGAAGGGAGGGGAAGAAGATGCGATTGAGAAAGGGGAGGATATGCAATTTAGAGATTTAGGTTAGGAGGGAGGGTGACACTAGGATTTAGTGAGAGAGATCACTACAGATGCTTACAGATACCATGATAGATAGATAAATATTGACTGTGACTTATTGATATGAGTATAATATATATATATATATATATATATATATATATATATATATATATATATATATATATATATATATATATATATATATATATATATATATATATATATATATATATGAATATCCCTAATAACCTTCAATAATTAATGAGTAATTATTTACAGTAACAACTAATTTGAGTGGACTTTTGCTAATCGAGATATGTGTTTGCTTAGCACACTAGCTTTATTCACCTTCAAATCCGTGTCATTTGAACACAAGTGTCCTTAGAGTGTCTTAAATTATGTAAAAATAGTTTATGCTCGCTTAATAAGTTTATATTTGCGCAACTATAAAATATCCGGCTTGCATTTCAGTAAACTAGAATTTTCTCGCTTAAGAAGCTCACTTATGCAGAATCCATATCTTCTTGTCTTGAATTCACTGAGTTATCCTCTTGCTCGCCCAACGAATTCAAGTTGCAATGTTTCTTTGGAGCCGTAGGCCTATGATAATCGAAATGTTTTTAATTTTTTTTTCTGTTATGTAATAATATATGGTCGCATCCATTTTTGGAACAATGCCAAGAAAAGGAAAAGTCTGGCAAGTGTATGGAACAAAAAGAGGTTACTGTAATGTGAAGAAAAAAGTTAGCAAGACAAATGGATCCAATTATAAACCTACCCTCCAGTCCAACTAGAAAAGGACGTGAATGCTTGGAGGTTAGTATACCAGCACCACTTTACCAATAATACCAAGTCATGTAACCTACCGTAGAAACTAAAATACAATGCAAATCTGGCACCTAGTGTCATGAAGCAACATTAACACCATGCCACTCTTGGTTTTGGGTACCAAAAAGACAAAAAGAAAGAACAAGGGGTTGTCCTTAACTTCATGTATAAACCCCATTATGACAATGTAACTAAACGTTTGGCTTAGGTGGGGAAAGAGCATGATTGAGGCTGTCTTTGGAATTTTTTTTAAATTATTTATCTTCAGGGAAATTAAAGTTATTATTATAGTATGCAATGAAGTCCACGTATAATCTTTTGGATGTTTGTTGATAAAATAAGAAATCAAAATAAAGTTTGGTCAAAAAGTTCTAAATTAGTAATCATAAAAAGTGATCTATAATGTACATACATTTTTATCGTATGAAAGAATAACACAATTTTTTATATGAAAGAGGACTAGAGAAGGTAGTATAGGACTGGTCAGTTTTTATGCTTTATTGTTCAAATCCATTGTGACCATAATGTCTCACTGGTTGATACAATTGCTCGAGTTTGTGGTTCCAGACCATGTTACCAGAATGTCTTTGTTGCGCCGCATTTCAGTTCTTCCAACCTACAACTGGTTGATCCAGTTTCTAAAGTTTGTGGTTTCAGACATGTTGGTTATATTACTCCATAGCTCCCACACCAGCATGAAGATTTGACAAACACTGCGAATTCAGATAATTTATTATAGCAAAAACCAGTTCATTTAAATATGTTCATTTTCTTGCTATAGTGTCGCCCTAAACACCCCTTTAGAATGAATTCACAAGGCACCAGAAAATTCAAATCATCCTCAACCCCTTTTTCACACAAGGGAGGGTATCTGGGGCAGTGAACTGCACATTATATTGTGAACATTTGGTGGGACTTTGATGCTCCAAATTAAAGGAACTGTTAATATGAAATTTTAGAAAGCGTAACGCTATCTATCATACATATACATAACAGAAAGGGAATGAAAAAATATATTAAAAAGGTAAAAATCTTAATACAAACACAACGGAACATCTTACAAGCAGTGACATTAATTACAGTAACTGAGGAAGTAGTCTCCTTTCATCAGATCTTACATCAAGCTGATTGAATGAAAGACCGGTTACCTAGTTAGATAGTAAATGATAAGAAAAATAACAACAAATGATGCCACCAGCGAGAACATTCTTCGGCTCGATTTTGTCTCAAATACCTGAAACATCGTAAACAGAAATTAAACATTTCATCCATGTGTTGTCATTCTCCAAACAATAAAGGAAAGTATGAGATAACAAGTGTGTAAGCACAGCAAAGAAAAATGGAACTATAGGAAAGTAGAACCATCAAGTACATACCATTTTGAATTTGTCCATAGTTCCTGAGAGGACACCCCTTGAAGAATCCATATCATTGCCCTGCATAAATACCAACAGATGGTTAAAGCAGAAAACGAAAAAAGAAGAGCTATTGTAAATACTTTTGATAGTTGCAATACAGAACACACCATATGATCCAGCATCCGGTTATGATTATCCACCTCCTCATGTATATCACCTGACAACTGTTGCAATCATATTAACACCCATTAAAACCAAAAACAACAATCCTGCAATTAATTATCTTTTACTTTCCAAAAGAAAAAATAACATGGCCTCAAGAGAAAAGCTATAAAGAATTTTGATGGCTACTAATAAATGAAACAAAATGAAGGAATTTGAGGCACGTAAATTATTTATGTACAGGATAGCTAGCTGGGAATCTAGGGTATGTTACAAGTAATAATGATAAACTTACTCTTTTCAGCAGATTAACTCTATCTTGCAATCCATCCATTGCTTGTTCATTGTCATGTTCATCAATTTCATGGGAAGAACCTGAGGAGTAAAGAGATGATGCTCTGATGCCGCCCTCCTCAATACCATCAAAAAGAGCAACTCTGTTGTTACGGGTGTCTCTGAAACAGAAAATAATAATTTACATAAAGAAAATATTAAGAGCCAAAATATTCAGGTAATAAACACAAGCAAAATAATTGCATAAAATATCTATAGAAAGATATATTAATAATAAGGAACAAAACATGTCTATCTCTGCATTTCTAATATCTAAGGCAAAAAATAAATACTTTACACATTTCTAAACAATAAACTTATAAACAAATATCAAGTAAACCTTAACCGACATGAATAGACAATGAAAAACTGAAGTGTTGAACAAAAAACCACTGAGTGGCACAGATAACGATTGGTACCACTTTTAAGGAAGTATGCATCATGGTATAACTAATAAAACACATTGCCTCATAATTGGTACAAGAAGTCACATGCCCCCTGATAACTCAGTTATCCACGGGTCTTGAGACTTTTAGACTATGTTTGGATTGATGAACTAGAACAGACAGAGTCATAATGGAATTGAGTGGAACAGAGCGGAATGGATCGGATATTCCATTCCATTGTTTGGATATTTTTGTTAATATGACTAAATGGAAATGGAACATAACTAATTAGTTCTTTCTGTTGCGTACACCCCAAATTGAGCGGAATGAAAATTGAAGGATTGGATGGAATTGATTTCATCATGTTCCATTCTACTGCATCCATTATTTGCAAATTCAAACAATGAAATCTGATTACTTACCACTACACTTCATTTCATTCTATCAAATACTAAATTGGATTGAGCTCCCTTTCATTAAAGTTGTAGTCTTAATCTTTGGATCAGAAACAGAAATTCACCAATCAATCATACATATCAAAATCAGCAATAAATCATAAAAATCCACGGATCAGAAGCAAGTATTGTCATAAACAACAATTTCCACCGTAATCAAATCGAATAACAACCGACACAACTAATCCAAATTCAAAATAACAGATTGATTTGAATCGAAATTGGAAATGAATTAATTAATTAATTGATTAATCTCAGTACTAACCTTCTAGAATTCATCATGTTAGATGACAGATTCCTCGATTTTAGTTTCCTAATGAAATCAAAATTATGATTAGTTAATTGATTAATAGAAAATCGAAAGAAAATGACGAGATCAGAGCTGAAGAAGATGAAAACGGAAGAAGATTCGAGAAGTTACGCAAACCTGTGTGAAGGTTGGAGTGGAGAAGATAGAAAGAGGTTTATATAGGATGGATGCGAGCGAGGGAGCTTCACGAGTTTTACACTACTACTTCAATTGTTCTTACTTACGGTTATTCATTGATTAATACGAGTATTGAGATTTGAGACTATTGTGTTGCTCGTAGTACCCATTTCATATCGGTTTATCTGCTTCTCTTTTTTCGGTTTTAAATCAAAAATACGTGATAAGGGAGATTTTTGATTTTTTTTTTTTTCAATTTTAATACTAAACTAAAAATTTTTAGCATAATTTCTAAACTAATTATGTTTCAAACAAAAAAAAAAATTAAGGAGAAAGGGCAATTTAAATTGCCATCTCCTATATTTGTTTTCTAATTATCTGTTGATTTATTATTATTTGCGGATTTATCTGAAGACAAAATATTAAATATTTTAAAGGTAAATTCACTATGAAATCTACGAGTAACAACAAATCTATAGGTAAATCCGCACGTAATTAAAAAATTATTGAAAAAGTAAGAGGCGTCAATTCAAGTGGCGTATCCTCTTTAATCCATTTTTTTTGTTTGAAACATGGTTATTTTGAAAATTATGGTGAAATTTATCAAGAATGACAAAGTGGTGATTGTTAATGGCGAGCAAGCCATGTTGGTATCATATTTATCCTCTTTCAGCTTTGTTCAAGCAAATGAAGATGTTGTTGAACATGTTTCCGGGCTTTATCCATTGATGATGTTAAGAAGAGTGTAGATTTTATCTCTTCGTTTAAGGATGCTTAGTAGGTTGTTCAGAAGGGTCCTAGTGGTGTTTGGGGACAGGTCATTGATCTACCAGAAAACAAAAACAAGATTGATTTGGACTTCTCTCCTCAGAAAGTTGAAGCTGCAAGGCTGAAGTCTGCTTCTTGTCCGTATTCAAATATATTCCACAGTGGAGGCTTTATCAATCTAACTCTTCTAAAAGTTAATGTTATTCTTGAAGACGAGCCATAGCCGAAAAGGCCAAATTATGTGACGTAAGAAAGAAGAGTTCAAAATTGGACCTCTATTGATATTCCTAGTTGTGTTTACATCTCGAAGTAATTTGTTTTGTTTTTTCAAAAATTCTTTTACTATGCCCAAAGTGAAAGTGATGTTGTTCGGGCTTATTTTTGTTTCAAATTTTAAAATTAATATTTTTGTTACCCAATTGTGTTTTTTCCTGCTTTTTCTTGAAAAGTGGTAATCTAAAAAAAAACCTTTAAAAATAGTTGTCAATAAATCTTCATAATCACTTATTTCATTTATCTGTTTCTAAAATCAAACATAATCATATGTGCAGATTAATTAATAAAATCATTGAAAATAATGATCGTTTGCCTTCTCTCAACTTTGAATATCTTGTGTATGAAGCTGAAGCAGATGAGTTGATTGAAATTCTAGAAGAGTTCTCTTGTTTGCTTGAGCACGAGGAAAAGATCATTCATCCATATAAAGAGATGTTAGAGACGATTAATTTGGATTCCGAATAAGAGCATAAGAAAGTCAAGATTGGGGCACTGCTTCATCCAGATGTAAAGACTAGGTCGACTGATTTATTGAGAGAGTATGTTGATATCTTTGTTTGGTCCTATAAAGACATGTCTGATTTAGATATTGACATTGTGGATCATCATTTACCGCTAAATCCATAATGCTCGCATGTCAAGCAGAAGTTAAGGAGGACTCACCCTGATATGGCAGTTAAAATAAAAAAAAAGTATTGAAACAGATTGATGTCGATTTTCTTATGACATCAGTTTATCCTTAATGAGTCGCCAATATTGTTCTCGTCCCGAAGAAAGATGGAAAAGTCTGCATGTGTGTTGATTACAGAGACCAGAACAAGGCCAGTCCAAAAGATGATTTTTCCTCTGCCACATATTGATATGTTGGTAAATGATACAACAAAATTTAATATTTTCTCCTTCATGGACGGATTTTCCGATTATAATCAGATTAAGATGGCTCCCGAGGACATGGAAAAAAACAATGTTTATCGCACCATGAGAAACATTTTGTTACAGAGTGATGTCCTTCCAGTTGAAGAACGCTAGTGCAACGTACCAGAGGGTTATGACAACTCTATTCCTTGATCTAATGCATAAGGAAATTGAGGTATATATTGATGATATGATTTCCAAATCTCAGACTGAAGAGGGTCATATAGAAGATTTTTTGAAGTTGTTTCAGCGTTTGAGGAAGTACTGTCTCCGCTTGAATCCAAACAAGTGCATATTTGGTGTCTGTTCTGGAAAGTTGTTGGGCTTCATTGTTAGCCATAAGGGAATCGAAGTTGATCCTGATAAAGTTAAGGCAATTAAAGAAATGCATGCACCAAGAACTGAAAACCAAATCAGAGTTTTCCTTGGACGTATGAATTACATTTCCAGATTTATTTCTTGTATGACTGCTACTTGTAAGTCGATCTTCAAGGTTCTGAAGAAATATCAGGGTTGTGTGTGGACTGATGATTTCCATAAGGCTTTTAATAGTATCAAAGAGTATCTTCTCGAGCCTCCTATCTTTCTATCTCCTGTTAAAGGAAGACCGTTGATTACATATTTGATTGTGTTGGACAATTTCATGGGTTGTATCTTGGGTCAGCAAGACGAAACTGGTAGAAAAGAATGTGCCATTTATCATCTGAGCAAGAAGTTCACCGAATGTGAGTCATGATATTCATTGCTTGAAAATATATGTTGTGCTTTGGCCTGGGCTTCTAAGCGTCCATGGAAATATATGTTGAATTTATACTACTTGGTTGATATCTAAAATGAATCCAATTAAGTACATCTTTGAAAAGCCTGCTCTTACCAGAATAATTGCCCATTGGCAGATGCCGTTGTTTGAATATGATACCGAATATCGTACTTAGAAGGTTGTTGAAGGAAGTGTGTTGGAAGAATACCTTGCTCACCAACTAGTTAATGGTTACTAGTCCATAAGGTTTGAGTTTCCTGGTGAAGATGTGATGTATTTAAAAGCCAAAGATTGTGATGAACCATTACCTGAAGAAGGACCAGAACCTGGATCTCATTGGGGTTTAGTATTTGATGGAGCTGGGGATGCTTATGGTAAAGGAATTGGTGTTGTGATTATTACTCCTCATGGTTCCCACATCCTTTTTATTGCAAAGTTGGTATTTGATTATACGAATAACATGGAGGAGTATCAAGCTTGTATTATGGGTCTCGAAGAACCCATTGATCTCAGAATCAAGATTCTTGGTGTGTGTGATGACTCAACTTTGGTAATTAATCAGATTAAAGGAGAATGGGAGACTCGTCACTCTAGCTTGATTTCCTACAAATTTTATGCAAGGAGGTTTCTACCTTTCTTCAACAAAGTTGAATTTCATCACATTCCTCGAGATGAAAATCAGATGGCAGATACTTTGGCCACTTTGTCTTCCATGTACAAAGTAAATTTCCCGAATGGAGCACCTCAGATTACAATCAGACATCTTGATAGACCTGTTTATATGTTCGTAGCAGAGGTGGCATCAGATGATAAGCCTTGGTACTATGATATCAAAAATTTCCTTCAAACTCAAGAATAACCACTTAGGGTATCTAACAAAGACATGAAGACATTAAGAAGGTCTTCAAGCAGTTTCTTCCTCAATGAAGATGTGTTATACAAGAGAAATTATGACATTTTCTTGCTCAGATGCGTGGATAGACACAAAGCATACATGTTAATGCATGAAATTCATAAAGGTCCCTTTGGTACGCATGCCAATGGATATTCAATGGATAAGAAGACGCTTAGGATAAGTTACTATTGGTTGACAATGGAATCTGACTGTTACAAATTTACGAAGAAGTGTAATAAGTATCATATTTATGCTGGAAAAAATCCATGTGCTTCCAACTCTTCTCATTGTTATCTCCTCTCCATGGCCTTTCTTGATAACGAGAAAACATATCATATAATTACTATGCTTTTTACCGATTTTATATTACATTAAGTCGTCTAACCCCCAATTATTCCGAGTTTATTTGTCTTTTTACAGGTATAACATTTGTCAACTCAAACCAATGGAAAAGGACAACATGAAGAAGGCTAGACAATAGACAAAGAGAAAAAGAACTAAAAATACAAAGTTTGGATTTTTGCACCTGTGACGATCGTCACACCCTGTGACGACTGTCACGCCTCCCCAACTAGAAATAACACTCATAACACATTGTTGACGAGCGTAATGCGCTATTTAAGCGCATTACGACCGTCACCCACCTGTGACGACCGTCACGCGCGCAAAGAGGAACGTTATGCTTTGATGGAGACGTGGGCAATGTGAGGTAGAATCCTTCTCCAATATTTCCTCCACTCAGTAACCATGCATCCTATTTTCACGCCACTCAAGCCTCTTCTCAAGACACTTTCAACTGCTATTTCCTCTGCTATATATATGTGTGGTAGTGCAAAGCTGCAGGGGTCGAAGAATTTTCTACAGACCAAATTTCTATTTTTCTGCATTATTTCTATTTCCTTGTTTTTGAGCTTTTTCCATATTACTGTAATTTCTATTTCAAGCTTTAGTCTTGGGTGTTAATTCTTCATTCAAGAATTAACACAATTTATTTACTGCAATCAAGCTTAAGGAATATTGTAACACTCCAAGATTACCATAGCAACGTTATTTCCGGGTTTTTATTGCAATTAATATTTATTCAATTTTTATATTATGCCGATTATTGATATGAATTATATTTTGAATTGTATTGGTATTAAATATATTATGTTCGGCTAAATTATTCGTACCGGTATGTGACTCTTAAGAATCGAAAGAATTCGGTGATACCTTGGCCAAAAATATTTATAAAACAATTTCTGGTTTCCAATTTCCAAGATTAATTTAACTACCCTTGTCACGAGAGTGAGAGGTTAATTAACACGATTTTGCCACGAGAGTGGGAAATTAATTAAGGCAAGAACCTGCATGCGAGAGCTGGGGTTCAACCCAGATAGTGGTAACGAAACATTAATTTTTAAATACACGAGAGTGTTTTAATAAATTAATTAAACTCAAATTGTTTTCAAAAAGTGTTATTAAATTTAAAGTGCATCCACTAGGTTTAGTAGCATAACTTATTTCACGAACACAAGAGTGTATGTCTCAGGTTTTTAAACAATTAGTTTTTACCGAAATA